GCAGATACGGTCGTCCGATTCGACGTCGCGCATAAACGAACGCATCAGCTCGAGGCGACCGCACTCTAGACAACCGGCGTTGTACACCGCGACGGAAGAGCCCACGGTGTCCTCGTACGAGATAGCGTCGATCGGACGCGGCTTCAGCATCAACACCGAACATTCGTTTCGTCGACAACGAGCGACTTCGCCGCCGGTATTGGTCAAAAAGTAAAACTGATCGTTCGGACGATAGTACACGTACCATTCCAGCGGATGCACAATAATCAGTCCGTCGCGTTTGCGCTGAAACACCTCAGCTCGCAACATCGATGAGCCGACACCGTCGACGTACTCGCCGAGAACGCGTTCTGCGGCACCTGACCCAGCCACCAGGAATTTTGAGCCAATGACAAATAATGAGCGAGAGCATTTTTCTCCGCGGCGTTATTGTCGCGTCGCAACAACGACAACACGTCGATCAATCGCGCCTCGTCAAAGACCAAACGCGTGCTCGCGATATACGACAAAATGCGCGCCGTGACGATCGAGATCGCTACAATCGCGATTAGCGCAAACGGATCCATTGACGTATTTCTTTTTATTTGTTTTTTTCGGAATGATCCTCTAGTGCATGTGTGTTACCTATCATCGACGCGCCGCGGTGTATCGCACCGAGTACCGCGAATCGTCGCCAGACGCAATCATTGGTTCCGAAATGATCTGAGCGTGATCAATATATCGCGATGACAACGATGACGACGACGGTGATGATGAAACTGATTTCGCTGTTTGGCATTGGTTGGCTCGTCCTAGTAGGTACAATCGCTCGTTCGCTAATCAGATACTCGTGTCCTCGTTGATCCCGGACGATGTCACTCGACGACGATGTGATTCTCTGTTACGACACACAAAAACGACGACCCAAGACGGCGCGAATCGCGCCAATCGCGATTGCGTCGGACAGAATAACGTGATAATTTGCGCAGATCACGCGACACTTATACACACACAGCAACGATGCATGAAGAGCGTAACAACACATGAACGAAAACACACACCAATCATCTACTGCGCAGAGCCATCGAGCACGCCTGAGCGGCGGCGTTTCGATCTCGTTCTTCGCGCTCCTTCTCCTCGGTGCTGGTGAACTGACGATCGCGTTGTCAAACACCGAGAAACACGACTGTTTGCTGACCACGAGCGCACCGTATACGGAGAATATCGTCAAAGAACCGCACAGAAACACCACGAAATTCTTATTCCACGACAGAATCAACGCGATCAGCAGCACGATAGCTAACAAGCATATAATGTACGTGACATTTCGCGTGTTCCACAACACCGTCTTGCAGTCGGACCACGTTGCCGACATTTTGGCAAGACCGGGCGCCAGCGTGCGACGAAGTTGTTGAACGTATCGCGAACATTCAAACACTCGCTCTCGCGATGATCGTTACCGCCCGTCCGACATTTGCGCGACATACACGTCGAACCGAGGAGAGAGAGAGCGAGAAATTGCGAAAAGAACGAAAAAAATCTAAACGCAAAAGTTGCGATTGTCTCCTTTTTCTCTTATTAGGTAACGAGGCGAAAAAAACGATCATCGCGAAATCACGTTTTTTTTTCACGCGTTTATTACCAGATCACGCGGTGCTGCTACGGTGTTGGTGCCGCCACCTTCTTGAAACTGATCGGCCAGATACAGCATCGACAACTCGTCATCGTGAGCAGCGCGTCTCGCATCGACCGATCCGTTATTCGCATCATTGTTTTCCTCGTTGACGCGTGGTGTTACGGGTGTCACTGGTGGCGTGGCCGCTAGTGCATCGGTACTGCTGGAAACTACCAGCGACGAATCCGCCTCCGCGTCCATCGTGCCTCTGGCGATCGCTGCTGTAACAGGACGCGACTCTGTAACGACACTGCTCTTGTCGGATGACTCGACCGCATCATCAAACGTACCTTCGCCGTTGAGGAGCTCCACGTGACCGATCAACGGACGATCGTCGAAATTGACATTGTCGTGCGTTATGCGACCGTCAATTCGCATCGGTAGACGCATGCAACGCGGTTTCGCCCGTTGTCCGCTCAACCCGTACAGATTGTACGTTCTGGCGCTTCGCGGCAACATCACATCATCATTTTACCGAACTGACGAGACACATTGTCGGTCGCTGTGGTGATCACGGGCAACACTTCTCGTTCGCGAGCGTCTCATTTTGACGCTGCGACTCGTACGCTACTACTCGCGGCGTCAGTTCCACCTTTATGCTCGGCGACACGTGCAAGCCCGACGGCGTAACTATTATTCCCGGAAACGCTTGATTCATGCGCATGGTGCGAGTAAACGTGAGATTGCACGTGTCGTTCGTTTCGTTACGATGCATAATGAACGCGCTCGGTGGTGACGGTAATGCCAACTTGTCACCGTCCAACAACCATCGGTTCTGACGAACCATCTCGTGGAAGAACAAGACCGAATGCATGATGAATTTTTTTCCAGTTGCTCGATCGATCTACGACGTTAAGGGACGAAATCAGCGCGTCAACGCGTTTGATCGATCGACAAAATTGACAATCACTCTTAGACATTAGATCGGGGGAAGGATCGGTCACGCCTAGTTCGCTATGAACGAAACGCGTACCACCGGGACTACGAGAATCGATTGTTACGTGCGATCGAACGATCGGTCATCGTGTGCGGACCGCTATTGACGCTGGACGATGCGATCGAGCAAATAGAGAACCTCAATTCCAACGGAGCAGATGACGCTCTGCGACAATTGCTCGCTCGAGAATCCGCGATGATGAAAAACAATGCGACACCGTCAACTGACGTCGTCACGCTGTCACGCGATCACATTGCGATCGTCGTGCTGTCGTTGCTGAGTGACGTTGGAGCGCTCGAGCCCGATGACGCCTCTTCGAACAAAATCATTGCGGGCGCCAATAACCGTGAACGACTCGGCGACGAATCGACGCTACGTCGAAAACTAGTGACCAAACGTTTGCGAGCGTTCTCGAGCGTGATCGAATGAGCGCTACGTATGACGGCACGCTAGACTCGAGCGATTTCTTCGAAATATTCGATGTATTGAGTGCGGACGGATGCTTGGCCGCAAAAGTGTCGTCGAGCGATGAGATCGCTGACGCACAAATTAGCGATTTTTCAACGAAACGTACGAACGCACGTCGCATTCGCACATACGAGCAACGAATCGCTCCGCTGTTCGATGTTCTGTCTCTAGGCGCAAATTCGACAATATGACCGAAACGTCATTCTTTGTACGAAAAAGCAAAGCGACCGATAAAACGACGTTTACAACGTTCATACATTTGTACAAATGGTCCAACATGAAGGATGGGCACAATAGGACAGGGAATGTTACCGCTTCGTACTATTGTACAATCGCACGTCTGTGATTGCGAACGATGCAACGTTCGTTCAACGTTGCTCGACGCTCACTCGCGCGTTCGTTCGANACAATTCCATTAAAATACCGATTCTCTTGTACAACGGACATATGCCATTGCATCGGCATACAATCCTTCAATATTTCTACTAAGCATTTAATTTTATGCAAGCATCCTTGTTTTATCGGCAGCCTTTTTCCTCTTATTCGAGCATTTTCTTGAAAGGAAGATATTTAAGCATTCATAATCTGTGTCCTTTTTATTCAGTTACTTAAATCAATTGGTGCCATAACATCTCTTGCCAGCGGAATTTATAGTTCATTAACCATTAAATCTGAATCTTACATTATTAAGCATAGATCTTGCTCACTTTTAGAGAAGCGCCTTACTGGAGCTACCCGCCTCTATCCTTGTCCAGACTGAGGAGCGCCTTACGGGTGCCTCTCGGCTCAAGCATCCTATCCATCCCGTCCAACTCATAAGACCACCCCTTTTCCATCAAGATCAGGAAATTTAACTTGTGAATTAATAACCTGTACAGTGCTTAGCATCCTTCAATCTCAGGGGCGCAGCTGACAGCCGCCACCCGCCTCAATTATCCTTCTCCTACAATCCGCATAACCTAACCCTGCCAAAGCATGGTAGTAAGCATTAATTATTAGTACTTTTACAGTACTCTGGCAACGGATAACTAAAGTCACAAGAGTCCTTTTCACTCAATAATTAATTTTATCAATTGCTATTTTAACTTGTCCGACCAAAAATGTTATTCTTAAACTCAATCCGTTAGATGCCAAATAAACATCGCGGGGGCGTTAAACAGAAGGCAAGGCAGCTACGTAAGGAAGCTTGCCGACGAGCGGCCCTGTTGTCTCAACACATGGACCCCACCAAACCCCGTATAATACAAGATATCACGGGGCACGATCTAGTTCCTCCATCGTACATCAAGTTTTTATTACAAAACAGACTCATAAGCACATTTAAATACGCTCCACGTCCATTACATTCCACACAAAGACACTTCATTCCGGATTCGCATTCTTTACCAAGCTCTTACAGGGCTCACACGCGCAACCCTCGGCTGGTTAAACAGCGTTCGACGACAGAAACTCTAGACATAGAATTGATAGATTTAACACAGGACGACACTTTCAACAACAAGACAGCCACCTACATTTACCAACTGGAGTCCTATTCTCTCACTGGAACTCCTCGCAAATTACCGTACCACCTTCATTACTTCCACCGGGCAGGATAACTGTACATTTTCTCAACACTTCACTGTAACTCATTACTAGCAGCTATATAATGTAAACCACATTTGTATTCATTAATTATATAACTATAAGTATTATCACTCATTTATCTCACACTTTTAACTATCATATTGTCTCACTGTTAAATAAACAATTGTTTAGTCTCTATTCCTATCAATAGCCATAATCTTTATATCACCTACAATCACCATATTTCCCCCTTTCACCATCTGTCCGGAAATCTCTCGGCATCCCAGGCAGTGCCGGTGTAAGCAGGTAGGCCTAAATAAATAGAGAGCAGGCGGATCACGATCCCTAGGGAGACGCGAGACGTTACACTCCGTGATGTGTCCGTCCGGGGAAATGTTTGACAATACCGTCAACATGTGCATTTCCGCCGACGATGCGGTATGTTGGACAAAGGAACGGCAAAAGATCATTTCGACCACTTTGGCCAAAACGACGACGACCGCAGCCGTCACCAAAGGCACGACCACCGCCACCACCACCACTACTACCACCACCGCCAAACCGGATCCATGCGCGTCGCTGGACAATGATGAAAACGCAAATTTACCGAATCCTGAGAGCAAGAGCAGCTACATCCAATGTCGCGTAGGCATCGAACTGCGCGTGGTCGAGTGCCCGAGCGGGTTATGGTTCAATCCAGTGACCGAATTTTGCGATTTACCGGAGAACATAAAACAATGATTTTTTTCCACATCGATTGTTCACTCGATGAGAAACGTATCATATCGCGCGAAATATGGCATGAAAAATGTACAATAAAATATCTTCAAGAACAAACGAGTTTATTCGTATTTACATGTACAAAATTGCACCTTTACAGCGCGACTAAAACGCCTCGTTACGACCATTTTATTCCATCGTTCATACGACCAAAGCAGCTGTCGTTTGTACGATAAATCACATTTGCGCAATAAATGCTACGTTAGCAATTCAACAGGCTCGACTCGACTCGAGCGTCGAGCGATCGTGCAGTTGTACAATCGTGCGATCGCGGGGTTCGAGCAATCGTACAGTAGTAACGTTCCCCCCGTACGTAGTACGGAGCAGTAGCGTTCCTGGTCCTATTGTACCTCTGACTGCTCCGTACTACGTACTGCACAATAGTACCGGCCGCGAGACGGAACGCCTCGTTATATACATTTTACCCTCTCCATACCGCACATTTTGCATAATAGTGGGAACTTTAATTAACCAATAAAATAACGGTTAGCACGCTCCCACTATTGTACAAAATGTGCGGTATGGAGAGGGTAAAATGTATATAACGAGGCGTTCCGTCGCGCGGCCGGTACTATTGTACAGTACGTGGTACGGAGCAGTCAGAGGTACAATAGGACCAGGAACGCTACTGCTCCGTACTACGTGCGGGAGACGTTACTACTACAATTGCTCGAACGCGCGATTGTACAAGTGCACGATCGCTCGACGTTAGTTCAGTTCGCGGAGACGCGAACGAACAAAAATGTACAGATGAGCGATTGTACAACTGCACGATCGCTTGACGCTCGCACGATTGTACAACTGCACGATCGCTTGACGCTCGCACGATTGTACAACTGCACGATCGCTCGACGTTCGCTCGACGTTTGCTCGACAAGCCGCGAGTTGCGAGTCGCACAAACATACGATCTCTTAACATTGGGTATTGCGATTATGTAATTTGTCGAGCGCTAGAGACTCAATGTTCGATGCTCAACGTGCGACTCGCGAGTCCGTGGCACGATCGCACGGTTCGAGCGGTTGTACACATTGGGTATTGCGATTATGTAATTTGTCGAGCGCTAGCGACTCGACGTTCGATGTTCAACGTGCGAGCCGCGAGTTGCGAGTCCGTGACACGATGTTAGCACGGTTCGAGCGGTTGTACAGTAGTAACGTTCCCCCCGTACATAGTACGGAGCAGTGGCGTTTCTGGTCCTATTGTACCTCTGACTGCTCCGTACTACATACTGTATAATAGTACCGGCCGCGCGATGGAACGCCTCGTTATATATATTTTACCCCTTTCACGTTGCGCATTTTGCACAATAGTAGGAACATTAATTGACCAATAAATAACGTTTAGCATGCTCCCACTATTGTGCAAAATGTGCAACATGGAAGGGGTAAAATGTATATAACGGGGCGTTCCGTCGCACTGCCGGTACTATTGTACTGCTCCGTACTACGTACGGGAGTTACGTTACTACTGTATAACTGTTCGAGGTTGCTCGAGCGTCGAGCATCGGGCGAACGTACGCTCGCACAATTGTACAACTGCACGATCGCTCAACGTTTGCTCAATTTCGAGGACGCGAGCGAACATAAAAATGTACAGATGAGCGATTGTACATTCACCAGAGGTTAATTGACACTTTGTTACAAGTTGATACTCGCACCGTAATGAAAAGAAATGGGTAAAACGAAATACTCGCAATGTCTTTTTTTGAGCAAATGTGTTTATTCGGTGTGCGCATTGCACCAATGTCAGTTGATGTCGCGGAACGCGATCGAGGACAATTTCGCTCCCTGTTGCGACGGCGGATCGTACTCCGCGTACTTGTCCGGCGACGTGATAGACTCGTATTGCGTCGCACGTGACCACACCTCGGTGTACGACAACAACGGAAGCGTGACTCGAATCTCGTGATCGTTGTCGCGCGCACTTGACGATGATGCTACGCGCGCGGCCACGAACGCCTCGTACGTGGTGCCCGAGAGTTCAAAGTAACGTTGTAGACGCAGCGGTGCTATTATCGTGCGCTTGAAACTCGTAAAATCGCCCGGCACCCAGTACCGACATACGCGACGAATCTCCGAATTGTGATCGACGACTCGACTTCCGCGCGTTGCATAATCTACCGAATCGTGCAGGAACGAGTCGAACAGACGCACCGTGGCCTCGCTCGTGCTCACGTAGCCCATAAACACGGTGGCGCACCGACGGCGAAACGCATCGTCCAGATTGCTCAGTCGATTGGTCGTGAATATGCTAAACACTCCGTAGTTGTCCGCGCCATCGTTCGGTTCGAGAATCGTGAGAAATCGCGTGAGAAGACTGTACTCGCCGCTCGTGACACTGGCGTTACTGCGATTCTTCACCAAGCCGTCCATCTCATCCAGCAGCAGCACCACGTTGCGTCCGGTGACGCGAACGAGAGCGCGCATCTTTCGATACAACGCGCGCAGATTCTTCTCGATCTCGCCGCGATACGCCGACAGTAAATTTTCCGCATTGACAAACGCTAGATCGAGACCGAGCGAGCGGCCCCGGCTCCGGTCGGCGCCGCTCCGGCTCGTTTAGCAGCAGCATCGGCGTCGTCGTCACCGGCCGTCACGTCGCCGTTACTACCGCTGATGACAAAATACGCGTTGAGCAATTGCGCATGCTGATCCTCGTAATCGGGCAAATCGTTGAGCGACACGTTCAAACTCTCGTGCGCAATGTACTCGTACAGCCCGTCGGTGCGTGTACGCGGATCGCCGTCGTCCGCGGAATCGTCACCCGCCGCGGCATCACTGTCCCGCGCGTCGTCCAAACGGCGTTGCGCTCGTTCGATGTCAGCGTGAATGTTTCGTACGGTGCCGAGCGACACCGCCAAGTCGGCGAAACCGCTCAATTGCATAGATCGCAACGACAGCGCTTGCATGCATCGAGCGACCACTTCGTTGCGCAGAAATTGTCGATCCGTCTGATCGACGATGAAGCGGTCGTAGCGCGCGGCATATTGCGCTACCAGGGTGCCGAGGGCCACGTGTCTGTCTGCAGCTGCCCTGGTATCGGTGCGTTCCAGCTCGAGTATCACTCGGGCCTCCCGATTGTACGCGCGCACAAAGTCCTCGGTCGCGCGATGGTACGCCGAAGTAGCCACATCTTCGGTGGAATCGGCAGCGATATCCCGCGAAGTCATTCAAGCAACGAAGAGAATAACCACCGCGCACTAACGGCGCGGAGCGATCAGTGTGAGAGACTACGAGAGCGGCGATTATTTCCCAGCGGGAAACAACATGGTCGCCACGTGAGCCGACACTACGGACTTACTGATCTTGTCGGCGATCACAGCCACACCGATGCGCAGCGTTTCGAGAGTTTTGCCGTTGAACAGCTGGTTCAGTCGCTCGTTGTTCTGCACCATTGTCTGACCGACAAAGTACACGAGCGTTACGATAAGCGCTATAATCACCAGTACGCACAGAGTAGTGCTCGCGCCCATGACGCGACGACGATCGACCGTACTTTCTCTCGATCGATCGAATAATCGAAAAACAACTCTGCCGACTTCTGCACGTGGGAGAGAAAAAACTGGGTCGATTAGCGAGCAGCAGCGTCTTACCTTTTCGAGCGCGTCGCTGGTTCCTATTTCACGATCGCGAGACGTACACGGGGAACTACTCGGGCCCCGTTCGAGACAAAACGGGGAACCGCTCAAGGATTACAGTGTTCCCCGAATTCGTCAAAATGGTCAAAATAACCGCATTTTTTGTCATTTTGGCGATTTTCAGGAACCACTCGGGATCCTTGGCGCGGCACTCATTCGGCATAATTGCGCGCAAAAATAGGATCCACTCGAGTGCGCAATCCGCACCGAATAGGATCCACACGTACCTCGAAATAGGATCTATCGCAAAGCGAAATGGGATGCATCGCGAATATACGCACGTCGACCGAGACCGGTCACTGTCGATCGAAGACACATCTGCTCGATCCAGTTCATGAAAGCGAGGCGCGAGATTATTTTGAAATTCTCGACACCATGTCGAGCAGATCGCGCTCGCTCGGTGAGGAATGTTGCGACGGTGGTGCGAGCGCACAGCACACTGCTGCGCTCATCGCCGCTCCAACGCTCGACGGTGCTTCATCGGTCGTCCGCGACAGGGCCCGAGCCTCGACATAGCCGGCGATCGCGGAGTTTTCGGCGTGACGATCGCGATAGGAATCCTCGCGAACGATTCCGGCGTTGTTCCCGAACGCGACAGCATCGCGCCACAGTGCGATCGAGCCGTTGAAATCGAGGCAGGGCACACCGCCGCTTCTCGCGTCGCTCGAGGAAGCGGGTCCTCTGACCAATGGTGCGGATTGCGCGTCGACAATGTCGCTGAGCACGACGAACGAGGTCGCGCGATTGCGAGGTTGCAACGTCACGCGAATTATCGCGTCGTACGCGTCGCGTCCCAGATCCGTAAGTCGATCGTCAGCTCGACGACTCGCGACGCGACCTCGTCGCGTCGGCGTTGTGGTTTCGCGCAACAACGCATCGGTCACGCAGTCGTGCCACGACGCGTACCGACGAGTCAATTCGACGTACGATCGAGCTCGGGACGCGAACAGATCTCGGGCGCGCGTCAGCATGACGCGTTTGTCTCGCAGCGCGATCGTCTCTTTCAGCGCGGCTACGAATTCGTGATTTCGCAGTCGCTTCAAGGCGTCGCATCGCGCCACCACACGTGCAGATCAGTCGCCAGCGAAACCAGCGAGTCGTGGTCGCCTAGCGTTCCGGTGTCATGGTCGGTGATGACGTTTCCGCCGACCAGCAGCAGCAGAGCCGCGCCGGTCGAGCATTGCGTCAGCGCGTCGCTCAGCGCAGACTCGACGCGTGACGGCGCGTCGAGATCCGCGCAGCATGATGACGTCGTCATGTCCAGTGCGCGCATCGCACGTCTGACCGGAGCGATCGCCGCGTCGCGTTCCGTCGTGGCGCGTT